GAGTGACTTTCAGAGTTTCTTCTTCCAGGTATCCAACTACCTGCCGTCCATCAGCTCCTCCGTCGCCCACGTGCCGGAGCGCTACATTTGGCGTGTCTGCATCGGGCTGCACTCGGCGCCGCGGTACCTGATGTCCTTCGCGTACTTCAGCTTCTACCGTGGGCGCTTTAGTGGTCGGGAGCGGCTGCTGAGCGGGCTGGCGCTCCTCTGCGGCCTCGCCGAGAACACCGGCCTGCTGCTGCTCACATACGTGTCGTCCAAAGAAAACCACCGTGAGTACGCGGCGGTCAGCTGACCGTGAGCGTCGGGCGTCTCTAATCTGAAACGTTGATGACTGTCTGTCTCCACAGGTTACCATGACAATGGGTTCAGAGTGTTCACAGGGAGCTCGCTGGTGCACATGCTCATTACGTGCCGGCTGTGGTACGTGATCAAGAGGAGCTTCGAGAGCGCAGAGGTAACTCGACCTCCGTCAAACATCTGGTTTGCACATGTGTCACCAGGAGCAGAGATGAAGCTCCCACAGCTGTGGATCCGTCACACCGACGATCAAACCTGTGAAAGTTGTTGGAGTGACGTCACCAACGTCACTTTAACTTCATCGCTCTCGTTTATCGTTTCGTTGTAAATGATCTGCAGAGCTGTGTCCTTCTCAGGAGGACGCATCCTATCGCTGGAAGCTGCGTCTCTTCGTTTTAAACGCCACCTGTTGTTTGGCTTCCTACTTACTCTACGAACGCCACAACGACCGCTGTGAACCTGGAGGTAAGTCTCGGTCACGTTGATAAACGGGTTCAGAGGGACTTCTGTCTGGAGGAGGTGCTGGTTCCAGTCTTTGAGACCAGAGACGTCCTCAGCCTCCCTGAGAACGTCTCTGTCAGACCTGCTGCTCTGTTAGTTTGGGGCTTGTTAGGCCTTAGCTGGGTTCCTCAGGGTGTCCTGTGGGTGGTGCATCAGCAGTATGATGGGTATCAGTTGATACAACAGCAGCGAGTGCTTGCTTTGTATTCCTGGTGTGTGTTGGACTCTCGCCTGCCTCTTTGCTCTCTACCCTCTCTGTCTTGGCTTCTGGATTTCGGCATACTGCTCTTTATTTTCTTCATATTACGCTCATCGGGTGGCTGTGCATTATTAACACATGACCGGTAAACACTCCTAGACCTCAGTCTCTCCTGTTCACATCGCTTCGATCGATGCCGCCCCACTACAACCAGACTCCCCCACTGGCCTCCCTGCCTACCCCCTTTCATCCTGTATAAACTGCTTGGCCACCGGTGGCTTTGCTCCGCCTCACAGCAAGCTTACCCAGCGCCTCCAGCGGCATGCCTCCCTGCTCGGACCTGGATCGCCTCGTACAGACGTGGTGTCACAGCAACCTCAGAGCCCTGCGACGCG